GAGAGGCCGGCTCGGGCCAGGTAAGCCGAGGCGACCAAGCCGTTGTGTCCGGCGCCGATGATCAGCGCGTCCCATTTCTTGGCAGTGAGGTGGCGCTTGGCAGCGGCGGTGCTGAAGGCTCTTCGCCACAACATTGAGTCCAGATTATGCGCGTAGGGTTTGGGAGCTTCTTGTTGTGTGTTTCATGGAGGAAGAGGTAGTTCCTTCAATGGGGGATGAGCTTTGTTCAAACGAACATTTCAATTCTGCTGCTGCATGCAGTGGCCACTGGCCAGTGGGCAGTGAGACTTAGTTTTTCTTTTTGGTCGTTGGGGTGGGGCGGGACCCAGCCACGTCGGACGCTGGAGATATATCTGTCATCTACGTTTCCCTCGCGATTTGTTTGGTTCTGTCTGTATCCTAGTTAGTAAAATACGGGGGGAAAAGTATGAATAAAATATATAACTGTTTTATTCAGTAAAATTTTAGCAAGATACAACTGAAAAATTCCACAACTATATAATATTTCAATATAATTTATTTTAATTTGTTAATATATATTATTTTTTAATAATATGTAAAAAATACATACATATACTAAGTTACGTGTGTTTTCTTCTTTTCTTTTATTTTTTTAATGAGTTAACTGTCAATTTACCCCCTGAATTTGTACGTTACTTTCAATTTGCATCCTCAACTTTCTGGAAAATTGAATACACGAACTAATTTTTATTGCCAATGCCCCTCTATCATTTAAATCTCAACCTTTAATCCAATTTGTCATTAAATATGAGTGCAACTTGTCATTTTATATGTTCAAATAATATGAAATCTAAAATAAATAAATAAATCATTTTAATAAATTGAGAGACCCACCCATATCTTCCTAGTGATGAAAGGGTTTAGGGTGGGGTGGGTAGGTCTGTGGGTTCTAGGGTTTAGGGTAGGGAGAATTGGTTTGGAGTGAAGGGTGGTCAAGGGGGAATGGAGGAATGGAAGGAGAAGAAAACCAAGGTGGGGTGGTTGGGTCCCTAGGATTTTTTATTTAGACAGACTATTGGATGACATATGTTTTCTTTTCATTTAATTTTTAATGATTTGACGAACTATTGGATGACATATTGTTGAGTTAGATGCTAGAGAATTGACAATAAAAATTAGTTCATGTACTCAATTTTCCAGAAGAAAAAAAAGTTGAGAGTGCAAATTAAAAGTAGCATACAAGTTAAGGGGGTAAATCGACAGTAAACTCTTTTTCAATAATACTGCAATTTTTGTAGACATCAACTAATTTTTCAGTATCTCATTTGAGTTAATATGAATAGATAAGGTTCATGCATGGCACACAGAAACAAAACAACTGAACTATTACTTCTTATTTTTTGACAATATTGAAGCTCATCTATTGTCTATCTTATTTTGATTAACGAATCTTCATCATATCATAATCGAAAATATTCACTTCCTAAATCATAATTTAAAATATTACGTCATGAAAATTTTAATTTTAATTAAAAATCATTAATAACAATTAAGATCATCACGATGAACTCTTCTAATACATATAGATAAACAAACCGGACTTGCAATTGCAAACATAGGCTTAGCCAAATTCGAATACCCCTCCATATTAGATTAAAGTAGAATATCGCTTGTATAAAAAGGAAAATCTAAACTGGGCTTTAATTTGTAAGTAGAGTTTTATAAGTCACCGGGCCTTCCTCGGCAATCAGCCCATCTGGACCACATAAGAGCATGTTGAAGAAAAGAATGGGCCACAACATTTTACAGCCCTCAGAGTCAAATTTGCCAAGAAATATTGGAGAAATTATCCATGTTGTCCTATTTTATGAATTTAGTAATATCTTCTCTTGGTGAACCTTATAACTAATATCTTCTCTTGAATCGCTTTGGGATGGGTTTTTATATATTAAATTTGGTTTTAGGGTTGCACTGGAGTTGAATCACATTTGAAACTCCTGTGCTAGAAAAGGTTCTTGTATTTTCATAGAGTTAGTAATTGTATGGTATGAATTTGTCAAATGACTAATTCTTAAGCACCAAGTATCCAGCAAGTCATTTTTCCCAATTGATTGATAAAGAGCCTGAAAAGCAAAGCAAATTATAAAGGAGAGATCATCACTTTATTTTTTAGGTGAAAAAGGGGGGTAAACAACCCCAAACACAAACAGAGATGATCATCCCTTTTGGGATAAGAACAATATTGAGTTTATTAGCAGAAAAAATACAAGTAAAGGATCCCATTTCTTATCTTCCTAAATTTGCTGCTGCTTTTTCTTTATTCTTTTTGTTTTCCTTCAGGGCTAAGCACCAGAAAAATTAGGCTATGGGTTCACATCACATTCAGGGTTGAATAGTTTAGAGATGATACCAAAAGATGCTTTCCTTGGGGGGAATAGCTCAAGATAAGCGTGTAGCTTTAAACTTTCCTAAACATGATCATCCTATACTTAAAATAATCAAATTTTTTTCTCAAAAAAACAGGATAAGCAAACCTCAAAAGAACACAAAGCATGCATTTTCATTACCCAATCCGCCGATTTCAAAGGAGGACAAGAAAAAGTCTAGCAAATATGAGAAACTTCACATGGGCTTATGAGTTTTGTTCCACACTAATGAATAATATAATATAGAAAAGCAGATTAGACAAAGAAACACCCTTTTCTTTATCTCCATTTTTGGACAAAAGCTACAATAATGGAACTCTATGCATATCATACCATTTCATATGCATTGAATTACCTAGTAGAGATAAATTACTAACAAAAAGAAAACAAAATAAGCTTGGATTGATGAACAATGACCCAAGAAAACCAAATTCTCATTTCTAGAGTCAGACAGAAACTAGAATACAGGATAAAACTAGGACCAGAGAGTATCCAATTTTATACAGTAGCTAAAAAAAGAAGTGTGATTCTTGTAAGTAACCACAACTTGGTCCTGCCACTTCCAGAAAACCAGGAAGAAGAATTTGTTTAATGATAATAATGTAGGATGCACAAATATACATGTTACAACAACATTTGTTTCTTTTGTATCAATAAATATCAAGAAATTTTTTGGAAAACATGGTCTGGATTTACAGTTTTACAATCATTTTCTTGAAAGTGAAATTAACCAGGCAGGCAAGCCAGATTCTCCTAACCAACACTGTTTTGCAATGATATAATTTAAGGAAAGAACATTTCACGATGACATCTAATTATTCTCAAAAGGTGAGTGGGTTCTTTCTTTAATGATTCTCCCCTCTACTTATGAAAACCCACATGCTTATAATAATATAATATTAGATCATCGTACTTCCGATTACAAAAAGACTTGGAAAGGAAGCAATTGACTGTCCTTGGAATCACATAACTCCTTCTCTCTCTGTCTCTCTGTCTCTCTGTTCCTAGTTTCTGCTTCTTATTCTAAACACATAATATTTTATAATATGCAAACCAGAAATTTTGTCTGCCAACTTGCATCACCCCATTTGCATGAACAGTGATCCTGTGATCTAGTCCCTTGACTTAAGTATACTACCTTTCTTTATATTTCAGACTTTCTATACCATTCAGCTTCTCTGCCTTAGGCTTTACCTTTCAATTTTTTACAATCCTTTTATCACCCGAATTCATTCTCTCTTAAATATACTAAAGAAACTTTGTTCTGATCACTTTCGCCATACTAATCGTTGCTCTAATATCTCAGAAACATGAGCAAGCTTTCTTCCCCGCAACCCAGTTTGACTTGGACAGCCAAACAAAACAAATTGTTCGAAAACGCTCTGGCAACATATGATGAGGAAACCCCTGATCGTTGGCACAAGATAGCCAGGATTGTTGGAGGGACGACTGAAGAGGAAGTGAAGAGGCAGTATGAGATCCTTCTATCAGACATCAAGCGCATTGAGTCAGGCAAAGTTCCCCTTCCTAAGTATAGGAAAGTTGGAGCAAGTAACATCAGCAATGAAGAAAAGAGGTAATACGCTTCTCCTTATTACTTGATAAGATGTAGACAAACAGCTTCTAAATCCTTGGTTAACCATATTCAAACCTTCTATAACCACAAGATATATGAACTGTTCTATGATGTCACCAACGGTAACAAGTGAAACACACTTCTGTACTAAATCCATACTCACAAATATAATGATTCTAGGTATCACTATTGTGCTTGTGAAAGCATAGAAGTCCATCTTAGATAACCTCGAGCCTCAATTTGATACTAACCTTCTTATTCTTCATTTTGCATGAGCTTGAATCTTCTTCATAGGTGGAGTCGCACTTTCAACGTTGTCATTATCTGATCTTCATCCTAACAGTTAAAGCCATAGTGGATGAAAGAACATTGCTTACTCCTTGCTCATATCTTTTGTTCCTATACTGGAAGAAAGTTTGTTCATTGATGATGATTTGCAGCACTAGAAAGCACTTAGTTCAGAAAACACTAAAAGCTGCCTGTATAATAACTTCCATTTTTCTTCTGCAGCCTGAAGATCCTAAAGCTCTAAAGGAAGATGCCCTCCAGAAGAGCACCAAATTCCTCTTAAAGTGGATCTAGAAATTAACTCATAACACCCCACTCTTCCCTACCCCTTACCCTTTTTCGTTCATGTAACTTCCAGATGCAATATACTTTTGTCTTGCACATGTACCCAGGAATAATCATCCCATATGCTATTGCTTACTTATTTCTCATCATTATTTAAAGAAAGGATGCATATCACATGAGCCTTAGCTCTAAGTCACATAGGGTGGGTTGGGGTTAAGGGAAGAAATCTTAGGTTCAAAATTAAAGAAAGGAAGCATTAAATAACATAGTACTCTAACTGAGTGACACATTTTTAAACTCATTACAATAAGTTTGCAACTGACATTGTAAGATTCAAATCATTCCCAAAAAGGGCATGAAACACTAGAATCATTTGGATGTAAACTGCTAATTTTCCACGTTTGAGTGTTAGCATACCAACGAAAACCGGCTAACAACTAAACTATGTTACCATTCCAGTCATCATGAAGTTTGCTCCGTCAGTCACTCACACGCACATGTGCAATAGCAATTGTTTGATCAGAACTCTAGCATTCGCTTTCTATACATTTCTAGTCATTCATGCCAATCACATAACCTATATAAATGCTAGATAAGAATCTCAAAAATGTCTTACACTACTATTTTCTCTGCAACCCAGAAAACAGAAAAGCTCAGAAAATGTTCCTAATCTGTAGTTGTTTGCAAAGGCAGTGGTGTTTCTCCTTCCTTTGGGCCACCGCCACTCTTTTCTCTGTAAAGTTTTGCCCTTTCAAACATCTGTTTTAGACCAAACCAAAACCAAAATCATATTTATCTCCCAAATTTCCAACAATTCACAAATATAAATCTGCCACTAAGTAAATACATGTTCTGCAAACAAGAGTGAGAGAGAGGCCAGAAGCGTACCTTCCGCACTGTCTCTTTCATGCAAGTTCTGTGTTCATCCATTGAGGCATGAATAAATTCATGAATGTGATCCCTCAAATTCGACACAAAGCTGCCACTCCCAAAATTCTTCTTTCTACAAGAACCCATAGTCGCCGTTGATTTACTTTGTTATACTAAAACGTCGTCCTTGCGGTATTTGGCGCACTGAGGTCCTGAGGAGCTGAGCAGGAAAACAAAATGGAGGTAAAAGAAACTGACTTGGGGAAGGAGGCAAAGGCGCCAATGAGGCCATGTGATATTAACTCTTTCCAAAATGCAAAACGACGCCGTCAGATATAGGGTATATTCTGGAGAAAAATGCGATTTGAACTGGGCCAAGTTGAACCATTAGGCCCAAAACGGAAAGTGTACGTATACTTTCAGTCACAGCCAGCCAGTGGTTTGCAGTTCTCTCTGATAATTTGATAAAGCAGAAAGTGAATCGACAAAGATGTCATTTCAGGTTCGTCATTACAAATTAACCTTAACCCATAAATTTTCGGTGTTTAAAAGAAGCGAATTTGCAGAAATTTCTAATCTTTTCTGCGACAGATAATATTGGGTTCGGCGTCAATGGCACGCCGGAAAATACTAGCGGAGATGGGATATGAATTCACAATCATGGTACATTGTGTTTATACAAAAGAAGCAATTTTTTTTTTGTCTTGCTTAATGGGTAGCTATTGAAATTTTTGATCGGGTTTATGGGTCTAGACTGCAGACATAGACGAAAAAAGTATAAGGATGGATAAGCCTGAGGAATTGGTGATGGTTCTAGCTGAGGCCAAAGTACGTCTTCTTTGTCCACTTTTGCTTTTTCTTTGCTTTCTTTCAATTTTGTGGTGGTTATGTAAGTTCTTTAGTTTTACTTTACTGGTCAAATAAGTGGGTTCAATTTTGTTTTACAAGAATTGCAATTAGAACTGTAGATTCTAATTTATATGCATTACTTTTCAGTTTGCATGACTTTTGAATTATATTTATGAGAATATAACTTTCATTCAAGTGTGTCTTGCCTCCCTTCTTATTTTTGTTAGGCAGATGCCATAATTTCAAGGCTTCAAATTACAAGTCAGCCGGATGAAGATGCTCATGCAACACTGTTGATTACTGCGGACACAGTATGCGTTTATATGTAATATATTTACATTTTTCAACTTCTTGCTATTTGAAATGTATCTGATTTTGACATAGATTAGTTTCTCATTCGCTAAGAATCGAAACAGAACATGTCTCTGTTATAAAATTCTGTAATTGAAATACCCTTTACTGTGGTCCGGTAATTCCATTTGCTCTTTAAGTGTGGCCCACTTATCCAGAAAACATGTTGCAGGTAAAAAAAAACATCAAAAGCTGTTTTTTCTTTTAGTGAATTTTAGTGAGCGTCTCTTGTGTTGTTGGCATGTACTGTGCAGTTAAAGGTTAATTCTCACTACTACTGCGTCTTATTGATTTTGAGGTGGTGGTGTATGAAGGGATAATAAGGGAAAAACCATCCAGCAAGGAAGAAGCATGGAATTTTATCAAAGGTTTGCTTAAATGGAAACTGTCCACCTTTTCCCTTTGTTAAAATTAGCTGGATGTAGTGGTCAGGTCTTTGTGGGTTGCAGGCTATTCTGGCGGTCAAGCTGCAGTTATAGGCTCTGTATTTGTGACCAACCTTAAAACAGGGAAAAGACAAGGAGGATGTTGCAGAGCAGAGGTACTTATTCTTTTACTGCTTAAGCTCATTCTTTAGCTGTCCTGTCCTAAAGAGCAACAATCAAGTTTCAACATGTCAGAAATAACCTTCTTTTCTCCCTTTTTTGGTTCAAGTTTGTGATTAACAAAGATTATGGATAGTTATATCCTTCCTGGTTAGTTTGGTAATTATAATATCTATTTGATGATGTTGTGGTACAGGTTTATTTTCATGTCATACCAGAGGAGATTATTGATAGCTTGGTAAATATTGGATACATAATCACTTTAGGTACTTCATTGTGAGCTATTTTTCTTTGTTGAATTTTGTTTATGAGTCTGATGTTGGCCCAGATTGAGGAGGGAATTACACTCGATGTCGCTGGGGGTTTGATGCTGGAACATCCACTGATATCTCCTTTTGTAGAAGCAGTGGTTAGCTCTCTCTTCTCTCCATCTCATGTCTATGCTGCAGAGATACAACTAAGAGAGCCTTTCAAATGGTCCTTTCATTTTTTAGCCTCATTCCTTGTGCTTCACAAATGTGTTCTTAAATTTTCTTGCATCTTTTTCTTGCATCTTCCAAATGAGTCAGCAACCAAACAAACTTGAATTTTAGCCTCAGTATATCTTTGCATCTTGCATGCATATATATTAATAATCATAATAGTTTGCCCCACAATTATTGCTCTTGATCTGCCTTCTCAAACATTTCTTTGCAATGTGCTTCGTTCGGTTTGTGGCAGGTAGGGACGACTGACACAGTGATGGGGCTACCTAAAGAACTCACAGAAAAACTCATTCATGAAGCACTCCAACTGCTGTAGTTACTAGCGACCAGGCTCTTGTTGCTAACATGGCAGCTGCAGATGAATCTACAATTTCCCGTCAGTTTCAGAATTGTGGGATTGAACCCCATCATTAATGACTTCAACTGAGGTTGTGTAATTGTTTTTACCACATCAATATTAAACATTTTGATATTGATTATGGCGATGATGGCACATATTTTAAATATCATACTTCTCTTAATTTTGAAGATATGATATTAAATTATGTTCCTTTGTATTCACATGTAATACCTTAATCATGTTATATGAAATTCCTACTATATCCAGTCAAAAGAAAGCCTTACTCGAGATAATTGTTCTTTTTCGACAATATAGAGCATATTATGCCATAAGCTACTTTCAAGAAACAAGATGAAACAGTTCGAAAGAATTTCTCATCAACAAAAATGCTGCTCTCAAGCCGCTCACTGTAACATAATACAATTTCAGATAGTAAAATTCTCATGGCTGGAAATACGACTATACAAATAGCGTCCTTTATCTTTTTTGCTTCTTTCTGTTATGAGCATTGCAATTACTTGTAAACCTAATGATACACATGTTACAAAATAGACCCTCTAAACTCGCTCAATATGCGGCCGCACATCAAAGCTTATGATGGCGACAAGGATCTAAATGGGTGACCTCGGCTTTAAATTAATGGAGCTGAGGGTTGCTTATCGTGTCAAAAAGCAGCTGCAGCTGAGAAGTAAAATTCTTGTCACCCATGAAGCTTTGAGCAATTGAGGATATAATAGATTTAACTCATGAGCCTTGGGGCTTTGAGGAGATAAATGCCCCTCACAAACCCTTTTCCAACTTTACCGACATCTTTTAATATATCAGTTGGATCTTTTACTTCCTCTGCTTCTTCTTCCCGCCCCCGTTTCTGCAGATATTAGGATCAGAGAATACAGCTGATTACGATGTGTAGAAGAATAATTTTTTAAAATTTTCATTGAGAATTTGGGATACACATTTATTCTGTTGGAACACATCCAATTATACCTTTGAACTATATCTCCCCCAAGTTATGCCAACAGCATCACCACCCAGAGAATCATACCATAGCTTGAAGGTGTTGGAGTACTCTTTCTACATTCAAGAAAAGAAGATGTAAGCAAAGATGGCCCAGAAAGAAATAGAACGCAACGGCATCATGGTCAAAAGTAAGGCATCATGGTCAAAAGTAAGGCATTGCATAATACTTGCCTCTATATCCCCAACAAAGCACCTCATTGGATCAAAGTTTACCAATAGCTTATTCCTTAGGTCCTCTGAGTTTCCATTCAGGTCACCAGGCAAAAGAAAGGGGTGAAAAACCTTGCTCGCATTCCCACGTGCCACATGCACCCCTGAACAAGATATACTCATAATGAAAACTTGGCACATACCAATATTTGAGTGTTGCATTGCCACAAAAGGAGAGAGAATAGCAATAAAACCGTGGCCATGCAAACATTCAGGTAAGATAAAGAACCTTGATTTAATTCAGACGAGAAGAGAAGACGTTGGGGGTAGGGTAATTTATCTCCGTGGAGAAGAATCACAGCATCGTAATTGTTCAAAGGAGTTTTAAAAAGGCACTGCAAACCAAGAATTAAACTTTAAAAGTTCGCAACTTCGCATATATCAAAACAGGCATTAAAGAAAAACCATTAGTGGATAACAATTAGTAAATTTGTCAGGCTCACCTCCCATCTATAAGAATCATTA